AAATGTACACTTTTATTCAAACTAATCTATTTTTGCACATGCTAGATAAAAAGTATATTGAATGCAAAGTTCACTGTTCAAAGCACCAGCTATGAGTGTAAACAGTGATATTACAGCTGCAATATAAAGTGCAATAAAAGATGAATTGACATTAGGAAAAATGGCTTAGAAACCTCCTGCCAGCCACACCTTTGTTTAAAAGGTTTTTCATGCATTGCAGATGTATTAAGAGAAAAGATTTAAGGAGTAATTTAGGCTCCATGCACACTAGGCGTTTTAATAACACTGGTAACAATAGCTGTGTAAAGTCACAATAAAAACGTATGTTTTTCAGCGTTTTTGTATTAGCCTTTAGCGGCGTTTTGCCGTGTTTTTTCGCGTTTGCATTTTTTAGCGTATTTTAGAGGGGTTTTTTTAGTAAAAAAAAAAAGTCCAAAAACACTGGTTTGCTGTGATTTACCGTGTTTTACTGTGTTTGACGCATTTTTACAGCTAAAAAGCTCCTCTAGAAACCCACTAGTTCTGGTGTTTTTTTTCCAGCCAAAAAACGCCCCTGCCAAAAAAAATTGATTACAGTCTATGTGTGCATGGACACATAGTATAACATGCTGGGGGGTTTTACTGGCTGTAGAAAAAAAACGTAAAAAGTCAAAAACAGCAGCTGTAAAAATGTCCCGTGTGCATGAGGACTAAATGTACTTCACAGAGCTTCCTACCTCCAAGGTTGTGGTCATTATGTATAGATGCAGGCATATGTTCAGTGTGTCCAGGGACAAATAAAGTGTTTGAGCTTAAGGATCCTATAATTTGTGCTGCCTCAGCATACATTGGAAGTTGCAATATTGTTTAATAGAAATTCTTGGTGCAGCTTAGTATGACCTTTTACTTTTAGTGCAGCACCAGGGGCAATCACATAGCTAAAAAATGAGAGCAGGATAGTATGACTTATCAAATATGGCAGTGCCAAGGTCCATTAACATTTTCTGACTATGGGCACGCCAGGCAGCGTGTCTACACTTCACGTGTGATTTATACATTTACATGTAGTAAAAACAGTGTGGGTGTTTGAGGGTGTTGAGTGTGTAGATGCTTTGATCTCTAACAGTTTTAAATCACAACTGTTTTAATGAATATGCACTTAGGGACAAAACCAATTGCATGTTCACAACATATACTGTATATAGCAGAATAAAATACAACTAAATGTAGGTTTGCTAAAATGTCACATCTGATTACACAAGGTGGTATCAAAAAGTTTTGAGACTAGTTTTGTAACACACCAACAGATGGCAGCACAAGGCTGCATGCACAGTCACAAGGAGCACCGATCTTCATAAATCAGTGTGCCAAAAGACACCATCATGTGTACATCGAGAGCTGTGCAACTGATGCTATTCTGAGACAAAGAGCAAAAGTGAAATTCTGCGTGAAACTTGGCAACTCTGCCACAGAAACGTTTGACATGATTCGGCGAGGTTAAGGAGATTTGGGGGGGGGGGGGGGGGTAATAACTGTGTTCCTCAGCAAGGACTGCTCCAATCGCCCCCCCTGCTAAGAGAACACAATGGCTCTGCAGGACAGATTCCCCCATCAACATTGACTTTATTGACTGCAAGAAAAATTTGCTCCATCTATGGCCAGATTTACATATTTAATTGATAGCAGCATTGTCAGACAGTGGGGTGGCAAACTGTCTACACTACTTAGCAACAGCAGGACAGATTTGAATGTGACCAAGTACTACATGTACTTGGTCCCCTGAAAAAGTTGTATACAAGTTTAAAGAGTTTAGTGAAAGTTCTTCTTTCACCCTGTCTGTAAAGTTACATACCTGCATCATGTACCGAAGCAAATGTGACATTTAAAAAGAAAACAAATACAAAATAAATGGCATTTCATGGCCACTTTATTCTTTTGTAAACTACGCAGTCAGGGATTTCCTTCATCTAAATCAGACTCCTATCCTAGATGTGGGTCTGGTATGTATTGTAAAAGGAGACCCCATGTAAAAAAAACAATATGGGCTTTCCCCTAAAAATACATACCAGAACAGAACCTTATCTTGATAACATACCCCCCATGTAAGAGCATAAAAGCAGTGAAAAGTTCTCTTTATATAGAGATATCAGATGTCTATTAGACCAGACCAGACTGGTGGGCATTTTGAGCTATTTAGAGTGGCTAAGGGCTATGTCACAATAGTGACCCTGTTGATGTTGATCTGTTCTTGAGATAATCTTATGACCATAACACCAGGTTAGGAGGGGAGGTTTTTCTCTTCTTGATCTGATTAGAGGTCTGTTATTTTGTTTTTATTTACAGATGTGTGCAACCGCAGCTTTACTAGTCCACTAGTTAGACCACTATTGTAGGTCCCCTGAACTAATGGGCCTTTCGATATCCAGCAGTGCCATCAGTACAGGTCTGAAGCAGCGACCCCTTTTGCCCTTATTGTTAAAGTTGCAGTTCCTGTGTGTTTACGGTCCAACTCACAGGTGTCAAGCTGGAGGCCCTCTAGCAGTTGCCAAACTAAGTCCCATGAGGCATCGCGAGGCTGGCAGTTACAAGCATAACTCCCAAAGGCAGAGGCATGATGGGACTTATAGTTTCACAACAGCTGGAGGGCCAAACGTTTGACACCCCTGTTCTAACTCATTATGGACTACTTCAATGTAGCACGTGACATAAATCCACTCTTAGCTGTATCAATGTGACCAAACGATCCTCCCATACTGATGGCTATCCTTTTATATACTTTAGGAGGGATTTTCAAATTTTTTTCCATAAAGCAGGTTGGTGTTATCACTACCCTGTGCAGTCAGAGCACAGAGGCCATGCTTTAGACAGAAGACAAAATGTGTCCACAGGTCAGCAGACTTAAACACTAACGGTTTGGGCAATTCAGCCAGCAAAGGGTACCTATCACAGCACTACATTAGTAATTTTGAATTATTTTTTCTCACCATTGTGCTGGCACATATCAAAAGCACTCTTTTGTCAATGATAACTTTAATTTCAAATGCGTAAATGTGTGTGGTTCATCTTTTATATATTTTATATTAAAGGAAAAAGTAAATATGGACATTAAATTTCATGCAAAGTAAACAGTCTCTATATGCTAATTTTTTTAAATTTCTTGAACCATACTGCCTGTTTAGCAAACATGACATGAAAGACACCCTGTTTTCTTATCATTGGTAATGTTCTTCTATATTTATCAATTCTAAATCCTTTGAAGACTGTAGGAGTGTGTTATCACTGCGGTTATGTCAAGTTTGTCATTTTAACATCAAACACAGTGACATTTCCCTGTGATCTAAGAGAATTTGTAATGTCCGCATGCAGTTTGCTCCTGGTCTAATTTATAATGGAAAAACAACTTTACCAATTACAGTGTGCAGCAGTAATTATCATACTACATACCAGTATTGTAATACATTACATATCTCTGAGTCACCCTTTAACTGTCATATATAGCACTGATTTTAACAGATGTCAACAGGTACTCCGTATAGATAGACCATTTCTATTCCTTCTGATCAATCTGCCTATTTATCAGTCTAACAATGTCAATGCTTTGTTATTGCTAACCAAAAGCAAAAAAATGATTTTAAACATATATAACATGATGTTGTGTGCACTTGGAATAGTATGTCTATTATAATTACAGCAATACTTGTTATGAGTTAGTTTATTTGTCAGCAGGTTTGGATGGAACTGAAGGAATTTCATGTTTAAAGGTTTGTGAAGCATTACATTTTCTGCAAAGTAGTGTATCAAAAAAAAAAAGATAGGAAAAAATGAGTTTATGTTATTTTATATCACTAAATTTTTCGGTTCTGCCTTGAGTTCTCCTTTGAATATGTCAGAAAATTCTATAAGGAACTATATTTACATCTTTTCTCCAGCTGAAATCAAGGTTGTTTTAAAATGAATAGGCCCCAAAAAATCCAGGGTCACTTTCAGGTCTCAGTTCATGCCGCAGGATGCAATCAATTTCCCAACTGAAAAAGTCAAATTTCTTGCAAATGAAGTGTGTACAGAATTGAGAAAAACAAGGACACCTCTCAGTGCAGGAAAAAAGGGCTTCTGTCCTATTTACTGCACCTGGAACAAATGAACAATATTTACCAGCCTTTCCAGGCCCCATAAATGTAAACTGTGGAGACACCTCATATGTATGACCAAGCAGAACTGTGGACACAACAAATTAACAGACTAGTCATTCAATAACGCACCATTGTTTCAGCTCTGGGAAGAATAAACAAGAGACAAACACCTCTCATTAAATGGATCTCTATGGGAAGAGATCATTTTACAGATGAATCTTGGAACTATTTCTATGTTTAAAACTATCCATTTAATTAAATTCTTTTTCTGGAAAAAACCATTATAAATATCATGGACATATGTATAAGTATGGGATTTTAAATCGTAACACAATGTCACAAGATATCTATAAGTGATTTTATCCTGACACAAGATCCAATTGCTAGAAAAGATTTCTGAATATTAACACAGGTTGTTTTGTATAATCCCATTATATATTTAGTGTGTTGAAATGTATCTTGTTGCAGAAATATTGTATGTCTGCTGCCATATCTATAATTAATAAGTAGTGAAGTATGCAAATTATTAGGTTTATATATAGGTATGGATATATGGATCTCTCTCTCTCTCATATATACCGTATTTTCCGGCGTATAAGACGACTTTTTTTTACTTAAAAACATACCCCAACAATTGGGGTTCGTCTTAACCACCGGGTATAGAACTGCTGGATGTGCGGTAATACTGTACGGTAGCTTCAGCTACATACAGTGTACCGTGCTGAGCCAATCACGGCGAGCGATGTATTCTATTAATGAATACAGAGCCTGCTCGGATTGGCTGAAGTTGTGACATCATCATGCCCGCCTCTCGGACTTCATTAATAGAATACATCACTTGCCGTGATTGGCTCATATGATGTCCTCCCATTTCTCCACGCATGCGCGGCGATGCGCTGTGTCCCCCGGACACAGCGGATCACCGATCACGGAAAGAGCCGAAGATGTTGGCTCGGTCATGTGATCATCTGTGTCCAATCACAGCTGATCACATGTAAACAGGGAAATGCCGGTTATCGGCATTTCTCTCCTCCGAGCTGTCACACTGACAGAGGAGAGCCGGTAATCGGCATTCCTCAGAGGGGACATGTACACTGATCATCAGGGCACTGATGATCAGTGTGCCCTGATGATCAGTGTAGCCCCAGCAGTGCCAGCTGTCAGTGTCCATCAGTGTTACATCAATGCCACATATCAGTGCCTACCAGTGCTCATCAATGCCACATATCAGTGCCCATCTGAGCTGCCTTTCAGTGTCACCCATCAGTGCCAGTCAGTGCCACCTATCAATGCCAATCAGTGCCACCTATCAGTGCTGCCAATCAGTGCCACCTATTAGTGCCAGTCAGTGCCGCCTATCAGTGCCATGTATCAGGGCTGCCTTTCAGTGCCCATCAGTGATGCATGTCAATGCCCATCAGTGCCATCTATCAGTGCTGCCAATCAGTGCCACCTATCAGTGCCAGTCAGTGCCGCCTATCAGTGCGCATCAGTGCCGTCTATCAGTGCCAGTCAGTGCTGCAGTGCGCCTATCAGTGCGCATCAGTGCTGCCTATCAGTGCCAGTCAGTGCCGCCTATCAGTGCGCATCAGTGCCACCTATCAGTGCCAGTCAGTGCCACCTAACAGTGTCAGTCAGTGCCACCTAACAGTGCCAGTCAGTGCTGCCTATCAGTGCCGCCTATCAGTGCCATATATCAGTGCCATGTATCAGTGCTGCCTTTCAGTGCCCATCAGTGATGCCTGTCAATGCCCATCAGTGCCACCTACTAGTGCCTCCACATCAGTGCCCATCAGTGCCACCTATTTCATATGGGTACAGTGTTGCATGACCGCGCACTTGTCATTCAAAGTGTGAAAGCGCTGGTAGCTGAAAATTGGCCTGGGTGGAAGTGGGTATAAGTGCCCTGTAGGCTAGGGGTTAAATGGTGTTGCCTCAGAAGGGGGGTAGTCTTGTATGACGAGTATAGCCCAAAACCTATGTTTTAACTGGAAAATTAGGGGGTCATCTTATACACCCAGTCGCCTTATACGCCGGAAAATACGGTATAAATATATATATATATATATATATATAGATATATATATATAGATAGATAGATAGATAGATAGATATAGTTTGTCTTTTCTGTCATGCGCATAACTAATATTTTAACCAGTATACATATAACTACAACTCTTTTCAGTTAAGGTTTACATTAGAAATTAGGAATAACATACTGTGTCTACCCTCCAAGACATGTATACAGTTGTCACAAAGTCCAGTTTGCTATAGTGAAATATTAATCTTTCCCTATAACAAATTAGTTACTTCAGGAAACTCAAAATAGTCAGGACTTACCTTAGAGTGACACTCAGTGGCAAAAGTTTGGTAATACAAAGCAAACATTGGGTGGAGTATGAGACAAATTCACCAACTGAAAGAAGGTAACGCCTTCCAGGCTACCTTCTGGTCCGATGTATTAAAATGTTATTAATGTATTGTGTGCAATGAGATAAAAGAGAAAGGCTTAGTAGATGGGGGATCAGATCTGATCACAGCCATCCATCTGATCCAAGGACTGCACCCATCTGACACCATCTGACCATCCAAGAGACTGCATATCTGATCACACTCAGGACACACAATTCCAGCCTGTCTAGATGCCATTTTGTGAGAGCCTAACTCCACTCATCAATCAGTAGCCATTTTTGGATTACATGATATTTGGAGGGTAATTTATAATCTATATTCTAGTGATTCTGCTTGACTAGATTAATAAGCTTATTGTCATTTTTCTTGTTGTAACCTAATTGTTCTCCTCACAATAGCATAATCATATACAGTTGCAAGAAAAAGTATGTGAACCTCTTGGGATTACTTGGAGTTTTGCATGAATTGGGCATAAAATGTGCTCTGAATGTCATCTAAGTCACAACAATAGAAGAACACAGTCTGCTGAACATAATACTACACAAACATTAGATGTTGCCATGGTTTAATTGCACATAACATGTAAACATTCACAGTGCAGGGAGGAAAAAATATTTTCACCTTTGGACTTAATAACTGGTTGACCCTCCTTTGGCAGCAATAACCTTAACCAAACGTTTCCTGTAGTTGCAGATCAGACCTGCACAACGATCTGGAGTCATTTTGGACCACTCCTTCACAAAACTGTTTCAGTGTAGCAATATTCTTGGGATGTCTGGTGTGAATCGCTCTCTTAAGGTCATGCCACAGCATTTCAATCGGGTTGAGGTCAGGACTCTGACTGGGCCACTCCAGAAGGCGTATTCTGTACTGTTGCAGCCATTGTTTTGTTGAATTACTTGTATGCTTTGGGTCATTGTCCTGTTGCATCACCCATCCTCTGCGGAGCTTCAGTTGGCTGACAGATGGTCGTACGTTTTCCTGCAAAATGTCTTGATAAACTCTGGAATTCATTTTCCCATCAATGACAACAATCCATCCAGGCCCTGAGGCAGCAAAGCAGCCCCAAACCATGATGCCTCCCTCCGCCAAGTTTTACAGTGGGGATGAGGTTTTGATGTGGGTGTGCTGTGTCTTTTTTTCTCCACACATAGTGTTGTGTGTTCTTCCCAAACAACTCAATCTTGGTTTCATCTGTCCACAGTATATTTTGCCAGTAGTGCTGTGGAACATCCAGGTGCTCTTTTGCAAACTTGAAACGTGCTGCAATATTCTTTTTGGACAGCAATGGCTTCCTCCGTGGTGTCCTCCCATGTACTCCATTCTTGTTTAATGTTTTCCTTATTGTAGATGTGTCAACAAAAATGTTAGCATGTGCCAGAGATTTCTGTAGGTCTTTAGCTGACACTCTGGGATTCTTCTTTACCTCATGCAGCATTCAGCGCTGTGCTCTTGCAGTCATTTTTACAGGACGACTACGCCTAGGGAGAGTAGCAACAGTGCTAAACTTTCTCCATTGTAGACAGTCTGTCTTACCGTGGACACATGAACATCAAGGCTTTTGGAGATACTTTTGTAACCCTTTCCAGCTTCATGCAAGTCAACAATTCTTGATCGTAGGTCTTCTGAGAGCTCTTTTCTGTGAGGCATGGTTCACATCAGACAGTGCTTCTTGAAACCAGTAAACCCAAAACAGGTGTGTGTTTTTTAAGGGCAGGACAGCTGTCAGTGACACATCCAATATCATCACACTGATTGGAGTCAAGGTTGGCTCACTCCTGGCTCCAATTAGCTCTGGGAGAAGTCATTAAGCTAGGGCCCCACATACTTTTTCCTCCCTGCACTGTGAATGTTTACATGTTATGTGCAATTAAACCATGGCAACATCTAATGTTTGTGTAGTATTATGTTCAGCAGACTGTGTTCTTCTATTGTTGTGACTTAGATGACGTTCAGAGCACATTTTATGCCCAATTCATGCAAAACTCCACGTAATCCCAAGGGGTTCACATACTTTTTCTTGCAACTGTGTATATATATATATATATATACATGTAATCTTTGGTACGGAAAATGTTGGTACTTTTATGCAAATCATCTGAATGTCTATGTGCATCACAATCAGGCTATTATATTATGTGTTTGTATGTGAATTATTGGAAATAAATATTCATTTATTTAATCATTTCCAGTCCATATTACACTGTTAAAATTTGTGTTTTAAAAAAAAATTTTTGGGCTCAAAATTAACTCAGAATTATTAGTTAAGTCAGTAAAATTATTTTTATAAATTATTGTTCTATTTGGAGGCATCTTTAGCTGACTGAATTAATTGTCCAGGCATTTCCTGTCATAACAATTAACACCACAATCACTTATAATTATTGCTCTTATAGTATAAGTCAAGAAAAAAAAATTTTTTTTTGTTACAGATAAAGTGGGGAAGGATTGGAAAATCTGTAGGGTTTTACTACTATTTGGGCCTCCACCTAAACTCCACTGACAACAGAAAAATCACAAAAAGAAACATTTTTTTTTTCAAACAACAGAGGTAAGTTTTCATTGCAAGGTTTCTAATCCTACTCCACTCTATCCAAAGTGTTAAAAAAAAAAAGAAAACACTCACCAGTGCACTTTACAATTTCCATTTCCCAATGGTCAAGAGATACCTCATTTGCACAAAATGTACAGTGCTGTGAAAAAATATTTGTCCCTTTCCTGATTTTTATTTTTTTGACAACTTTTTCCCTTAAAAAATGAAATAATTTGAAAACTGTATTTTGTATTTTTGGGTTATTTTTTGTGTAATATTAAAATTTGTTTGATCTGAATCATTTAAATGTGACAAATATGCAAACAAAAAAGAAAAATCAGGAAGGGGAAATAGTTTTTTTACAGCACTGTATATCCACTACTATATGCACATTAAGCTATCTTCCAGTTGTCTAAAATAGGTGTTAATGTGCACTATGAATCTATAAAGAACAATGTCCTGTTGTATGACAATTTTTATTATGAAGGACACTTCACAGTTGGTTGCCTAATGTGTTCCATATGCAGTAAAAATGTTCATGTAATTTGAAAAGCTCTGATGATGAATGGCAAGCTTTGGACATATATATTAGTTTATAACATATACAGAATGGTGTCAACAGTTTGGCCTATGCACTTTGCTTCGACACTACATTTGAAAAAATAAAGGTTCACCTGTAATAGCAGTTCTTAAATTCAAAAGATAAGCATACCATTTTTGTAAACTTTTTTGCAATCTAATAATGCAAACTCACCTGTGTTTGAGATATTGTCAAAGGATATCGGAACAATATCCATGTAACTCCTTCACTACAAGGTGGCATAGTAAGAGAACCTTCATATACCCAGTAATCACGAAGCAAAGGGTCTGGTTTGCAGACAGGAAAACAAAAAACATTGCACAAAGTAAATTCACTAACAAATGATTCATTCTCACTAAAAGTAATAGCTGTTAGAATGTTTGTGAACTATAGAAAAAAACAATATAGAGAAAAAACATGTAGACAGCATGCAATCCCCACCCACAGACAAATAAATATAGCAGATAGGTTTAAATGCAACCCACAACATCATTACCCCTGTTGTGAAGTATTTTCAGAAACATCTAATTATATCACGGAAATCCCACAAGTAAGGTAATGATTGAGCTAACCTCTAACTTTTTTTCTGTTTTGTCAATGAAAGCCTATGATCCCTGGCGTTGTTATAATTCCCTGCTTGCCCTAGACTGAATAAAGTAATTTCTGTGTTTGTTTTTGAATGTGAGAACTAAATTACAAGACCAAACTTTTTATGATGTGTTAGTTAAAATAAAAAAAAAGGCAATTATTTTTATAATATAAAACTGGCCACAGCATATAGCAGTTGCAAGAAAAAGTAGTATGTTGACCTCTTTAAATCGTTTTCTGCAGTAATTTGCCATAAAATGTGATTTGATCCTCATCTAAGTCACAATAGCCAAAGACAAGGTGCTTAAGATCACAACACGCAATTCTCATTTCTCGTGTTTTTTAGTGAACACACCTATTAAACATTCAATAGGTGGTCAAACCTTTTTTGGCAGCAATGACCCTTTCAATAGCTCCGGATCAGACCTGTGAAACATTCAAGAAGAATTTTGACCATTCCTCTTCACAAAATTGATTCA